GAAGCCTGACCCATTAATCTTTCTCATGCAAATATGGTCGTTGTGGAAGGTTCAACCTCTCCCAAGGAAAAGGAAAGCGTCTGCCTTCATTAACGGTATTACCTGCCTCTACTGAATGTGCTTATTCCTTAAGGCGTTTACTCTTCTCAGAGCGTGAATGGGCAATGCGAGGGAGCTGCTGCCCGTAATTAGCGCTGAGGCAGTTGCCCGTAATTAGCGCTGATGGCTCCGTCTTTGATGTTCTCGGGGGTGAGTGAATGAGAGGGGGAGGCCGGTGGTGCTGGGTACTATCCTTTCGCTTACCTTCATCCTTAGTGTTGTTTCTAGATTTTTTTTTAAATGTTTCCCATGGAAGTTTTTGTAGCGGGGCTGGTAGTTTACATCACGTTCTGCAGTTGTGGACGTTGTAATGCGGGGACCTTATTCCTCAGAAACATGCTTTCCAGCGAGACTTAAGAGTCTTTCCCTGTTGTTTTGAAAGCTAGCAGAATCAATCCCTCGTCTAGCAGCTGTTGTCACCTCCTCTCGTCAGATGCTTGTAAACATTGATATGATTCTGTGTGACCATGCAACACCCTCCCAGTCTCTCTTCTCCAGAATGAACAGGCCCAGRTCCCTCAGCCTCTCCTCACAGAAGAGATGCTGCAGTCCCTTCATTGTGCCACTGGTCTTCTTGGGCACAAGGGGCACCTTGCTCTCCAGCAAGGCTGCCCCAGTTTCCACTGCTGTCACGGTTTATTTCTCCATAGTTTCAGGACACTTGCCCTTAATGAAGTTCCCACGGCCCCATCTCTCCAGTAGATTGAGRTCCCTCTGAATGGCAACAAAGCCACCTGGTGTATCTATTCTGTTCTATACTAGGGTTCAGTAGTTTTTGTTCCTCTGTTGTAAATCATGAACTGTCTTTTGGGTTTTGGGTTTGTTTCATTTTCTTGAAAATGCATGCTTGGTAAAATCCCTATATGTTTTTTTTTTTTTTTTTTGGTTATGTCATGAGGCCTGAGTGATCATGAGAAGTGCAAAAGATCCGCTTGAGGGTCGTGGAGATATTTGGGAGCACGTGGTCTGTATCATAACATAAAAAGCAGAGAATGCCTGCTTGTTGTAAGAAGCTATATTTGCAAAGAGGTATGTCAAGGATGCCTGGAGAAAAGCCTCAGTCAAAGAAGTTGTTCCCGGATGCTTGTCAGTGTTTGTTTTGGAGCTGCAAGAGCTTGGAGTAGGACTTGCTGATCTTGAGAGAGTACTTGACGTTGAAAAACACCATTTTCCTTTAATTGTATGAATTTTCCTGACAAAAAAAAAAAAGTCTTGAAGCATCCATTTGCTTATATTAGGTGTTCAGGAAGCCATGGAAAGACRTCTGGCCTCCACAGCAGATGGAGAGGGAAAGYGTAGTAAGGGAAGTCCACATGGCCTTCAGAGATCCTTAAATTAATAGAGTTTGGAAAGGGCATTAGGATCTCCAGACKGGAGCCTTGGAGACAGTCCTTTTTCACATACAGGCCTGTCTGAAAAGCATCTTGTCTGTCCTGCTGTAGCTGCAAGTGGAAAAGGAGGCATGGAGTCTTCCTCGGAGGAGGGAAAGAGCACTMGAGGGCAGTGCCTCCTGTATTTCATGTCACCCTTCTCTAAGCATTTGCGTGGTGGGGTAAACTGAGTAGTCTGCGAAGCAAAGAGGAGCAAGGGCAAGGCAAGGAGGAAAGGTGAGAGCAGGGTCCTGTCATTGAAGGCCTTCCCAGGTGTGCTCTTTACTGCAGGGGCTCTGCATCTACCAGCACATGCAGAGAGTTACAGGGAGAAAGAGTGAGCGAGAGAGTCTAACTTATTTGGGAAAAAAAGTTCTGAGCTTCTTTCAGAATCCTTGGTACTCAGAACCCTGTGCAAGACATGTTGAGGAAGAGCAGGAGAGGTTCAGCACTAGTCCCTTCCCAAACTATAACTTAAGAATGCATAGAAATGCTTTGGAAAAGGGATGGACTCAAGAAGAAGGAGAAGTGAGGAGAAGAAAAAACAGGGAAAAAAGAGAATGGAATGAGATAGAAATGAAGGAGAATAAAATGGACCCCGTTACAAAGAGAAATAAAAAGAACTCAGCAGTATGAATAGTGAAGTTTTGGCATGGAGAGAAGAGATGGAACAGGGTGATTGTTTTACTTATCCATTTTCCTCCTGTATCTCTTTTGCTTTTCATCTCATCATGACCTTCTCACAAAGAAGATGGGGTGAGTTTACCTGTTCTCTGCATAGTTGACCATAAAGTACAGTACTAGGGGCAGAAAGGATCTCTCGTTCCTGTTTCCTCTGCAGCCTTTTTTTTTTATTTATTTTATTTTTTTTTTTGCCTATTCTCCCCCTTTCCAGGGTTTTCCTGAACCTCTTTGGAACAGCTACTACAGAGCTCACATCACTTTCCAGTTCTTTTCGATTGGTTGCAGGCAAAAGAATGAAGAACAAGCAGCAATTTTGTTTGCTTGCTGTCTTGACTGTGTGGGTTCAAAAGGCCATTCTTTTTCTTCATAAGAAGCAAGAGCCAGAACCCTGTGATGGGAGGTGGAGGTTACAGTTAAATAAGTCTTGTTCTGAGGAAGGTGGATTATCCCAGAAGAGGTCCCCGATCCATGGTGGTGTTTCCATGTGCAGTGCTGAGCCGAGAAATCCACACTGTCTGAGCTGAGAGGGCAGCCGGGTATTGGTGCCAGGTCATGACCATGCCCAGGGACGTGGCAGGTGCCAAGACCYTTCGTGGTGGCCTTGGCTTTTGGCTCACACAGTTCTGTGAGCACTTGTGAGGCAGTAGGGCACATGGTGTCCTCAGCTGTGAGAAGCAGGAGAAAACGACAACTGTATCCTACATAGTCTACTCTTYATCTGTATTACATATTGTCATTATTCCAGAGCTGGCAGATCTGTTAAGCTAATGTTTGTTGCAACAGAATGCTTACACAGTGTGTCACAGGATGTCTATTTTTACATTGCCTCTGTATTATTCAGACTTATGGTGGTGAGTGGAAAAGCTCCTGTTCTCTCTTTGGTAAGGTCTTGATTCCAGGACACTGATGGCATATGTAATTCTTTAGACTGGTGGAAGATGGTCACTCATAGCACCTGATTGTGCCCTTAATGTCTCCTCTGGCTGTAGGCCTTGCTTGATTGCTTAGAGTACGGTTACATATATTGGGATAATACTGGGAAGCTGAGGCTGGCCATGCATCTACCACCTGGGATAGTATTTCTCCCACCAGCACCAGCCCCTATCCCTGTTGCCGGACTGATTTCAGAGATGTTTCAGTATTTGTATGTAAGATGACGACGCTTTTGTTTTGAGGTTTGTGAGATTTTGGAACTGAGACCATAGACCAGCAGCTGGCACACAACCCACCTCCTCTTGTTAAATGGTGTTGAAGCTGGAGAGAATGCCATCAAATTAGAGCTTTCCCTTCTGGATCTCTTTTCACAAAACTAGTGATCTGAACACTGCCCACAATTCAATGACTGAATGGGAATGAATTCCTGTATGAATCACCAGTGTGCATCCAAGCTGTTTTCCTGAAGTAAGGAGATTCTTGGCTTCTTTGGAACCATGGACGATGTTGGCAATGCTGTTTTCGAAAGGCTGTGTGTTTCTCTTATGGACTTGTAGACAAATTCTTTTTGTAATATGGTCTGTGTTGTTCTTTYTGGCAATGAAAGGGAGTGCATGAAATTGCCGACCCACCTCTTTGTTGTGGATGGACTTGGGGATGGAAGCTACACAGTATGCTCATCTTCCAGAAATTGGRGTGGGGTGCATGTGATGAGTGTGTGCTTGTCAAGGCTTGCAAGTATCCAGGACATCTGTTATGCTTGCTGAGCAAAGAGGGATGTGGATAAGCTGCGAAGGGCAGAGGGGAGGACCGAGTGGAGTTCACTAAAGGCTTTTGCAGGAGTGCTCAATGCCACAGTGGCTCGTTGTCCACTAGCCCATGCAGAGAGAGACTTTCCTGGCAAAGCAGTTTCCAAGAGACCTTCAGAATCCTCAGGACTTCATGCAGGATATGATGAGGAATCAGCGGGAATAAGCAGGGGAGGTTTTGACTAACCTCCTGCCCGGGCAGATCATCAGCAGTTAGAAAACAGTATTGCAAAAGGAGAGACATAAAACAAGGAGGAGAAATGGAGAGGGGAATGATTGCGATAACAGTGATAGGACAGAGAAATGGAGTAAAAAAAAATGCAGGGATACGCAGTATGGAGAGGGGGAGGGATATAGAAAAAAAAACCTCACCAGCTGAATGGCAAGAGCACCTCCCGAGGAAAGACGAGACGAAAGTGGAAGACTTATCACGCACTTGATTTTCCCGGTGAGCTTTTCAAGTCCGTCCTGCCTTATCACAAAGAAAACGAGGGGATCTCCGCAGTTCTCACCACAGTATACTATAACGTTTTCAAGTAGGAAGAGGTACTTCATCTCCAGATTTATCGACCAGTTTCAGCCGCTTACCACTGTTTTCCTGTACCGCGTTGGAGCAGCTGCTGTGAGTCGCAGGTCTTAAAGCACTTTCGACTCCTCGATTCGGGACGGGGAAAAAAAAAAAAAAAAAAAAAAAAAAAAAAAAAAAAAAAACACCACCTCACGAAAATAACACTACAGTGTTGCAAGAGCTCTTTCCACAAGTCTGCTTCCCGGAAAGGCGGATTATCGGCAAAGAGGTCTCCAAGCCGTGGTGGTATTTCCGTATGAAATGCCGAACGGAGAAATATTCGTTTTCTGGGACAGCCGGAGCGTTGGTTGTGCAGCAGCGGGGCCAGGGCGTGGGGTACTCAGGTAAATTCGGTATTGTGYCGGAGCGGCGGGGGCCGAGGCCCATTGCGGCATCCCTGGGCCTGCGTGGTGACGGAAGGCGGCTCCGTGGTGGCGTGTGAGGCGGCGGGTCACACGGTGTCGCTGCAGGCTCAGAAACGGCGGCGTCTGCGTCGGCTCCGCCCCGGTGCGGCGGAAAGCCCGGCTGTGAGCGCGGGGGGAGCGGGAGGGCAAACGCGGCGGTGCCGGAGAGCGGCGGCGGGGGACGTGGGTGTCGGGGAAGCGCCCGGGTGCGGTGCGGGAGCGGCGCTGGCCATGGGCGTGCGGTGCGCGGTGCGGCTGCTGGTGCTGCAGGCGGCGTGGGCGCTGGTCGGCGGTCAGGTGCGGTACTCGGTGCCGGAGGAAGCGAAGGGCGGCACGGTGGTGGGCCGGCTGGCGCAGGACCTGGGCGTGGAGGCGGGCGAGGCGGAGGCGCGTGGGCTRCGKCTGGTGGGCAAGGGTCGTCCGGCGAGCGTGGAGGTGAGCGGGGCGAGCGGCGCGCTGGTGGTGAGCTCGCGGCTGGACCGGGAGGAGCTGTGCGGCAAGAGCGCGCCGTGCGTGCTGCGCCTGGAGGTGCTGGTGGAGCGGCCGCTGCGCGTCTTTCACGTGGAGCTGGAGGTCACCGACATCAACGACAACGCCCCGCTCTTCCCCGCCGCCCGAAAAAACCTCAGTATCGCCGAGTCCTTAACGCTTCCTGGCTCGCGTTTCCCTCTGGAGGGCGCGTCGGACTYGGATATCGGAGCGAACGCGCAGCTCTCCTACAAACTGAGCCCCAGCGAGCATTTCAAACTGGAATYACAAAAGGTTAATGAGCGAAATGATCTACCCGAACTCGTATTAACGAAAGCACTGGACCGGGAGGCGATGGCTGAGCATCATTTGATATTGACGGCGATTGATGGGGGCAGACCGTCSTTGTCGGGMACRATGGARCTGGTGATCTCGGTGCTGGATGTGAACGACAACGCGCCTGAATTCAACCAGTCTGTCTACAAAGTACAGCTGGCGGAGAGCGCTGCAGTGGGGACAGTGGTGACGGGCGTGATTGCGACGGATCCAGACGAGGGCATTAACAGCGAAATGACTTACAAAGCMACGCACTTCCTGCCACAACACGGAAAGGATCTTATTAGCGTGAATTCAAACACGGGAGAGATCACGCTGACGGCCCCTCTGGACTTTGAAGAGGCCGATGTCTTCGATGTCCGCATAGAGGCAAGAGATAAGGGTACTCCTTCYTTAACTGGACACTGCCGCGTGGAGTTGAAGGTGTTGGACGTGAACGACAACGCGCCGGAGGTG